GGGCAGTATGTCCTTGCTGTGCACAGATACACATGCAGGCAAGACACTACTACACATGAAATAAAATAAGCTAGAAATAAACTTTAAAAGTGCAAGACCAGGTAAATGTCTGCTGTTTAAACCTGAAGAATGTCAAAGAGCATGAATGATCTGTTGTTTTATTATTGATTTGAGAAAGGGTCTTATGTAACTCAGTCTGGTCTTGAACACCTAATCCTCTTGCCTCCTCTGAAATGCTGGGGTTCCATATGTGTCCCACCCACCAGACATTTAGCTCTATAAACAATCTATTTGATCTCACAGTCAGTTCCTTGAATACCGAATGACATCAGGAGAAAGAAAGAAGTCCCTGAAGTGATGAAGAAGGCTCACTGTGGGTTAGTCTGTCTTGTTCAAATCCAGGTTTCCGCATTCATTAAAATATGTGACACTGGGCCAGTTTTCGACAGAGTTCTATCATTCTGTTTCCCTGTCTATATAACAGCAATAGTTTCCCCTGTACAGAGCTTCTGTAAGAAGGAAATAATCCAAGTCCCTTGGTGTGTGCTGTTGGTGAGTGGTGGTAACTGTTATTGTTAGCATCTAGGACTGGAGGGATATAGCAAAGGTAGATTTGGATTAATAAGGCTAGGGTGTGTGGTTCAGTCCGGAGAGTGCTTGCCTAGTATGCACAAAGCCCCGGGTACGGATTCCAGCACACGTGAATGGGGCAGAGTGGCTCGAATCTATAATCCCAAAATGGAGGAGGTAGAGCTCAGCCTTGGCTGGCTTGAGGCTAGACTGGACTACATGAGACCCTGTCTCAAAGCACACAAATGTGTGTGTGTGTGTGTGTGTGTGTGTGTTTGAGAGAGACAGAGACGTAGAGAGGGAGAGAGACAGACAGACACACAGAGACAGACAGACACACACACACGCACATAAAGAGAGAGAATGAGACAGAAAGACAGAGAGAGATACTGAATATTATGAGATTTGAGAATATGCCGAACATGGAGGTTCAGCTTCAACACTATCTTTACTATGCAGAGTAGAAACACAATAGCCTTTTATTTGTAGTTTAACTTCTTCTGCAGTGTCTGCTCCTGAAAATGACAACAGAGTCGTCTAACTGGTGCGGCTCTAGTATCCTGAGTAAGAGAACACCTGGGATTCAGTGGCTCTCAACATGTATGACTGTCTTTCTTTCAGGGTCCCATATGAGGAAGTCATTTTCTTTAATGAAGAGTGTTGATGAGTTGGGTTCTGGTTAGTTGAATTGCACTATGTAAATCAACTTAATCAGGCACTGGCTCTGTCAGATAAACACTGAGCACCTGGCATGCTTTGGTTGAACACCCTTGTTTGTTTGATTTTGAAATATTCTTTCCCCCATGTGTGGCTTCTTCACAGAGCGGATCCCTTAACTTGGTCAAGCTGCAGTGAGCAGGCATTTTCAGTTGAAAAGCTTTTTTTTTTTTTTTTCTTTCCGTTTTGTTTGTTTGTTAGTTCGGTTGGTTTAGTTTGGTTTGCCCAGAGGAATTACAAGGTTTTAATTAACAGAACTCGCTTAAATGAATATGTGTCAGTGGTGGTCAGTGGAAGAGTGGGCTGGTTCTGGCTCATTCCCTGTTGGTTTAAACCAAGTCAGGAGTGAGGGAGTAGTAACATTGCTGGCTCAGAGAAGTCAATCCTGGATGGCAGTCAGAGACCTCAGAGACTCCCCTTCACCATGTCCTGTCCCCTGTATGTCATCCTTTCAGGTACTGCACTCACCCACCAGGAGCTGAGGAGTAGAGTCCCCGGGCCTGGATATGAAGGTTCTCTAAAGAGGGAAGAGAAGGGATCGAAAAGAGGTGCTTGTGGAGAGGACTGTGTGAGGTGAACAGGGGGCACGTGTTGGAAAACCACTGATATTCTGGGCCAGTTCTTTGTGGCAGGTGTTTCTGTGAGCTTTATAGGATCTGAAGCAACATCTCTGGTGTCTAGCTCCCAACTCCTGCTCCCTCCAGTAAGATCACCTATACTGTTTCCAGAAACTCCCAGAATGTTGTCTGGGGAGATACAGCTCCCAACTGAGGACCACTGCCTTTAAAGGATCCATTTCCATTACTTTGGGCCCGGAACAGCACTATTCCTCTTAGGCTGTGCTCTTGGGAATGTCTTCATGGGTTCTTGGGCATCTCTATAATGCTAACGGGCAAGAGAGCTTCTCCTGAGATGGGTGCATCCTTAGGATGCTAGGCTGTAAGAGCACATTTCTAAGCAATGCAGGGGTGCTGAGTCACTTTCTATGGTAACTTGAATTTTGTCGCTAGGGGTCTTTGACTCTCCTAAATGAGTATTGTGTTAAACAACAATGCTCAATTGTCTGTGGAGACTTTATTTAGCATCTGAATATCAGACGGAAGAAAACCCACAGACACTTGGTTCAATTATAAAAATAAAGTCCGGTTTTTTTCTTCCCCAAAGGAGCACCCTGCAGTGCTCCTTTATAACCATGAGAGAGAGCTGGGAAGGCCACAGACTAGGGACATAGATCACCCAGTGGCATTTCAGGAAAACAAAAGTTTTCTGGTTTTATTTATTTATTTTTATTTTTTATTTAGCTAAAAATCACCCAGGATGCTGCCCAGTTAGAGACCTGGTGTCACTAGTAAGTCAGATGTCATATTCATACCATTATTGGCAGCATGCATACAATTTAAATATTTTAGCTTCCATTGCAGCTACACAACTGACCTTCAAGGGCCCCATTCATGGGGGAGGAGCCCAGGGAACAATCAGTCACTTCATGTGAGGGCTGGCCAGCAGACTGGGTTTCCTCACATTGCCAGACAAACCAGGACACAGGGACAGCTTTGGAGCAGTTCATCATGACAGAGTTGGGACAGAGAATGACTTGGGGTGAGGGGCACCCTTTGGGAGAAGCGAGGGAGTAAAGCTTTTTCTCAGTGTTGTTGTTTTGTTTGTAAACCCTTTCTTTTCTTTTTTTGAGAAGGAGCTATCAGCCTTTGTTCCCAGGGAGAATGAAATATCCATGAAGAAGGGTGAGGCTGGGAATTTTGTTCCGAGTGAGTTCCTTTTGTGGCGGCTCCAAGGCAAAGGAGAGGAATCTGGGCTGAGGCGGGTTCAAGCTAAGATGAGAAAAGAAAAAGAATTCCTCCCAAGGATTTCTCCTATTGTCTCCCAGTGAATAAATATTTATAGAGCGGGTTCGAGTGAAACCAGCCACAATGGTCACAGTTTTAAGACCAAGTCTTCCAGCAGGCACATCTAAAACTATGTCTAAGCGTGATCCAATTAAGACTCCCCAGAGGAAGGCAAGAAACCTCAAGATAATTTCCTACTGAAAATCTAATTGTGTCCTCAAGTGGAAAAGGAACACCGGCACGAATTACCCCAGATCCATAGGCTGCTGCAAAAAAAAAATGGACAGCTAAATTAGATTCTATTTTAAGTAATTAAGTTATTTCCCTTCACAGGATCTATAATTTGTCTTGAACAAATGTGATTTGCCTAAGAAAGATAAGGCCTTGCAATTTTTCCTTCCCAAACAGATTTTCTGTGCCAGAAACAATTACTAAGAGACCAAATATTGTCTTAATTATATCTCATTTACTATCTGGGAGCATGCCTTCAGCACCCTGTTTGTGTTCCAAAGTGGGAGAGGTAAAGCCACGATAGATGAGAAGTTATCTTTAAATGGAGACCGGACCTGCAATTTACTCAAGAGTTTCAGGCTTGCACAACGTTAGTGTAAATAGCTCTAGGTTATTACATAAGGTCCTAAAATCTTGTGCAAAATCGGGCAGTGGAGGAGAGCTTGCTTCAATACATCTTGGAACGCTAAAAACAAAACAAAACAACAAGAACAAAAAAAACCCACCAGCACTAACCTCTAGCTGCTTTAATTGAGCCCCTCAGGAGATGCTAGGTGTTGTGATAAGAGTCAAAATAAAGGTCCCGAGATTTGCATAGAAGATATTGCAAGGAGGGTATTTTGGTTATGGCTAATTTTATGAAGAAAACATTCACTTTTGGCTTTGTATTCACAATTTGGTTGACCTCTGACCAGGTGTTCTGGGGGACAATAGAGGGTAAGGTGGATAAATGGTGTCAACTTTGGGTTGGGTCGACTGAAAACAAAAGTTCAACCGAGTCTCGGAGCCTCAGTTCCCACCTCAGTAAAAAGGGAGGGATACCATTAATACCAGATGACTGGCTGCACCTAACCTGCCTTCCCTTCAGATGGGACAGACGGAAAACTGCAGCGCAATGCGGACAGCATCCTGTATCCTTTCTGCTTGAATGTGCACACATCTTTCTGAAAGGCAGTCCTTCACGGGAATGGGCCCTGCAAGGCCCTGCACAGATATGCCCAGGCTTCTGTGAGTTGAAAGTGTAAGGCTTCAACTTCTTGACACAGACTTTGAAATACTAGCTGTGGCTTGTCCCACACCTTAGACCAAGTTACTTAAGCTCTCCTCTGTGCCTTAGTTCCCTCCTTTATAAATGTTACGTAATAACAGAAGCAGAAAGTAAAGCATTATACAACACGTAGGACCAGCTGGGGAGATGGCTCTGTTAGTGAAATGCCTGCTGTGTAAGCATGAGACCTCAAGCCTGAGCCCCACAATGCTAGTAAAAAACTGGGCATGGTGGTGTATGTCTTGACTCACCTTTTGGGGGGGTGGAGAGGGAGACAGCTGGATCTTTGGCGTCTGCGAGGCAGCCAGCCTAGTCTACTTATTTACTTATCCAGTTCTAGCCCAGTGAGGGACCCTCTCTCAAAAAACAAACAACAACAAAAGCAAAAACCAGGGTGTGCCAGGTCCCGAGGAACATCTGAAGTTGACTTGACCACCAAAGGCATCATGCATGTGCACATATGTGAGCCCACAGAGACACACACCCAGGAGGATCTCTGCTGCCCCGTAAATGTTTTGTTTTTTAAATGTGTTTTCCAAACATATTCTTCCTGATAGTCAGCAGAAATGACCGCATAGCACAACGCCAAGTAAGTTTAAAACTGAGTTTTATTAACAACTTATTACATACAAGACTGTACATTGTAGATGCTGATCACGTCACTCTTAAAAACGAAAAAGCCAGCATTTCTAAACTATGTCAGGCTTTGGTTTGAAGTGCCATTCTTTCAAAATCATACAGCATAACTAAACAACTTAAGAACGGCGGGGGGGTGGGGGGTGGGGAGGGGGAAGGGGGTGGGCGGGGGGAGGGGGCGTGCTCCTCGGGAAGGGAGGGATTACGCAGCAACAGCTGAGGATCACTTCTAGCTTTACTCGATTCACCGCACATTCTGGAATGTTCAGTTCTTCTCTGTACAGCTCTACAGTCCTACACACAGATACACAGCAACTAAGAACTCGGCCACAGGCCTAGACACCCATTCACACGAAACAAACAAAAATCAATATTTATATAAATTAAGTAAAAATCTCACAAAAAACTAAACAGATATAAACAACAGTCAATAAAAAAAAACTGTACAAGATCGGTCAGTCTTTTCTATCAGAAAAATGTGTAACATAAAAAGTTCTTTATCATATATATTATATATATATATAAAATGTCTTTTCGTAAGTGTTAGCTGGAATGAAAACTCGAGGACTCTGACTCTGTGGAGACCGAAGAGTGTCCACCCCGTTTTCCTTTGGAAAGGATCTTGAGGCTGGAGCCTCGGCTCATAGAATTGAGGGCGTGCTGGGCCGAGGTTTTGAATTTGGCTCCGAGGAAGGCGTAGAGGATGGGGTTCAGGCAGCAGTGAAAGAAGGCAAGGGCCTCAGTGATGGAGATCCACTTGTGCACCAGGCTCTCGAAATCGCATCCTTGCTTGATGACCTCCAAGAGGATGAAGGAGTCGATGCTGATCCCCACGTAGTACGGCAGCCAGCAGGCAAAGAAAGCCAGGATGAGGATGACCGTGGTCTTGAGGGCCTTGCGCTTCTGGTGGCCCTTCGAGTGGGACAGCTTGGAGATGATGATGCAGTAGCAGGACAGGATGACGATGCCTGGCAGGATCAGCCCCACCATGATGTGCTGGAACTGGAACACCACGAGCCACAGGCTATCGGGGTAAAGGCGGTCACAGATATACCTGCCCTCTCCCTCGCTGACGTCAGCGAAGATGAAGTCAGGAATAGTCAGCAGCAGAGCGGGGATCCAGACGCCCACGTAGACTGCCTTCTCTGCCAGCAGCTTCCTCGGCCTCTGGCTGTTGGTGGCGTGGACAATGGCGAGATACCGGTCCAGGCTGATGAAGGCCAGGATGAGGACGCTGCTGTAGAGGTTGACGGTGTAGATGACATGGACAGCCTTACATAAGAACTTCCCAAAGTACCAGTCCGCCATGGCATCAACGGCCCAGAAGGGAAGCGTGATGACAAAGAGGAGGTCAGCCACCGACAGGTGCAGCCTGTACTTGTCAGTCATGCTTCGGAGCTTCTTCTGGTAACCCATGACGAGGATCACCAAGCCATTGCCCACTATGCCAGTCAAGAAGATGATAAAGTAGATGGTGGGTAGGAAGATCCTATTGAAGTGGGCGTTTTCATCCCGGAAGCAGGGCTCCTTGTTGGAGTCATAGTCTCCCGACCCTAGTTCTTCAGAATAGTTATCTGAATTATATATCTGCAAAAGAAAACAGGGGCAGGCACGTCACTTACAAGGTCAACAAGCCTTTCCCAAGTTTAAAGTTTTGGGTGCCTAAAAAAAAAAAAAAAAACCTAGCATTTTTAAGGTGGGTTTTAACCCAGCCTTTCCCAGGAAACTCCAAACGTCTGGCGGCTTAGGTGCAGAGAGGGAACCTGCAATCCTGCAAGCAACCGGTTTCTCTGTCTTTCCCCACGTTCACATCCTTATGGCCCCTCTTTAGTGGAACCAATTAGGAGTCTTTGTTGAGAACAAAAGGACGCTGAGATTCTAAGGGTTTTACAGCCTAGTGTTGGATAACTCTCCTGCCCGCCCACGAGAGGCAAGAAAAAAAAAAGTAAAACCCCAAACCAAAAAAAAAAAAAAAAACAAAAACAAAAACAAAAAAAAACCTCCATTCACACAAAGAAGTCACTCCCAGGCGCTGTAGGGTGGGGGCGAGCCATGTGGAGCTAAATCTGTGTGGAAGGAGGAGATGGGATTAATTTTTCTGCATGAAGATTAGGCAAAGGAGGAGGGAGGAAAGCAGAACGTGACGGTGGGGTCCCCCCAAAAGACTCAACGTTTTTAGGACCCAGAACCTGTTTTTTCTCACCTCTGTCTAAACATAAACCACTGCTTTTCAAGTCACACGTAGTGAAGAAAGAGAAAAAATGCCAAAGTCTTTGGGAGTTTAGGGTCATGGGAGTGTTTAAAATGAGCAAACAGCGCCCTACTCCACCCCACCCCACCTCCGGCGCTTCTCTGGAAGGTAATTCTTTCTTGCCACCCCCATGTTTATCACTGGGTGTATCTGGGACGTTAAAGTCACATTATCCTGGATGAGGAAAGTCACGGGGTCTGCACCCCGTGGTTTTCGCCCCAAGTTTCACTTCCTCACTGTTCCTGTCCTTTCCCACCCTGCAGTGGACCCAGCTAGACTACTGGAGTCCGAGGCAGGCAGCTGGAAGAGTCTAGACCGTGCACACCCCGGGGTCCGAGTCACCCACCTAGGGGCTGGCGCTGTAGCCCACCACACCCAGGCCGATGGCCAAGCGGCAGCAGTTCCAGGGGTTCCTCCTGGCTGCGCGCCAGGATCGTCCCTCTGGGTGCGGGCGACAGATTGGGCGGCTTCAGCGCGAGCGCCTTTGAATTGCGCGCCGCGGGAGGAAACGAAAAAAAAAAAAACACAACAAAACCCTCCCTAAGAGAGGGGGGTTTTAAAAGACTCAGGAAACCACCGACGGTTAAACTCTGCACTGGGGCTCAAACCGTCTCCAGGCTTGCACCTGTTCATCCCTGCGGCCACCCAGCACAACCCAGGTGCGGTTCCAACACGCCCTCCTGTCCCCAACCACGGTCCCGCCGGGCACACCTCCCGGCCAGCAGCTGCATGGTGCAGGTTTATGCCCCTTACTCGTGAACGAGCCTAAAGGCAACCCAGACCCCGGGAAGTTCGTTTGCCACCGCGGAGAAGCGGCGGTTCGAATGCCCGCAAAAGCGCTGCCACTCCACCCCAAAGCGGTTCGGTTGGTCACCTTCCCGCGGCTGCACTGGTTTGGACCCTCCTGGGCAAGCGACTTGGTAGGCTAGTTTGCGTTTCCCGCCGGAGGCTGGCGTCCTCCGTCTGCAGCACGGAATTTTGCAACTGCACTCCTAACTCCAAGAAACGCTCCAAGATGCTTCTGCTCGAAGTTAACCCAGGATGTAGTGTAGACCTGGGAACCCTGCCTTCATTTACCCATTTCAGTCTCTCTACATTCATACAATGTAAGAAACTCAAAGAAACTCTTATTCCCATTAGTACCAGACGACGATTAAGTTCTGGGGCAGAGCGCGAGCCTTCACCGCCCGTGTGCACAAAAAGTAGAACGTTTTCCAAGAGCGTCCAAGCCGGCGCGCGCCACCGGACTCAAGCGGGAAACAAGAGCAGCTTCAGGAAAGCTCCATCCGAACCGCCCCCTGCCCCCGCCGCTCCATTTACTGAGAAAAATATTTCCATATTTCTCCCCCTATAGCCATGCTCACAAAAAAAGTTCCCGCGCTCCTTCTCCGTGACCCTGGCATCCCCAAGGTTCTAGTTGCTTCTACCCGTTCTTAGAGGGGCTACGCTCTAAGTTTGCACGCTTACTACAAAGTAGGATGCAACTGGACTTACACTTACACTGATGCCTTCCATGGCAACACTCGCTCTCCAGCCGTGGTGGCTACCGGAGCACCGAACGCCTCGGAGGGTCACCGCTACCTGCTGCACCAAGCAACAAATTGAAGTTTCTGGCCCGAACTGGACTTTTATAAAAACACGCTCGTGGGGTAGCGCATGCGCAGTTCAGACTGGGCGGGAGGAGCCTGGCGGGGGCGGGGCTCAAGGCTCTGGGACTCAGAAGTCTGAGAATCTGCTAGTCTGTTGTAGGTCACCTCCTGGGTTCAGAGCCTGGCCAAATAATGTTCTCGAAGTTGGGGAAAGCAGGGTGCCAGCCAGGGAGTTTTTGTGGGTCGCGCATCCATCCTTGCCTAAGTGAATACAATTCTAGACTCAAGAGTACTGATGGAGACATTGAGACTAGAGTGGGGTGGGGGAGTGACTTGGCGCCTACCTAACCAGTAGGCGGCAATGTTGGAAGCCCGGCCAGGGTCTGAGCTGTCAGGAGCTACTACTAACCAAGCTCTTCTGGACGCACATTCACAGCAATGACATCAGGATCAGACGTAGATAAGCAGAAATCACTTGCAGACCCTTCAAGAAGTAGAGGTATACTCTCAGAAAAAAAATTTTACAATACTGGCAACCAATTCGTGAAGAGACTTTTTTTTATGATTAAAGTGTGCTTTATTATAAAGAAGAATTTAGCGACGAGGACAATGTGTAACAGAATCTAAAATACCTGCACAGAAGCACTGGTTCATTTTCATTTCATAAGCATATAGGGCTGCATCTAATTAGCAGATAGTTACAGGGTCCTGGCTCTGGCTTTGGGCCTTGGGCTGTTCCAGAAGCTGGGGATCCAACCGCTGTCCCCGCGCAGCGGGACGCTTCGCGAGCTCTGGGGAGTACCAAATGGAGAAGACTGGGACTGCAAGTCAAGCCTGAGACCAGACCTTTCCCTTTCCGTCTAACCCGCGTCTCCCACCCAGAAAACTAAGTTGGAGCGGGGATGGGAAGTCTTAATGAAGAGCTGATTAGGAGGGGGTGGGGGTAAAGTTGAGGGGGTGGATGGTTAGAGAGTCTCAGACAGGCTAGGGGATGGAGTGGGCGCCCAGACGACTTCCCAGACTCGCGCCAGTTCGGGCCGGCGCCGAGCCTGGGTGGGGCGGGGAGCGAGAGAAGGGCGGGGCCAGAAGCAGAAGCAGAAGCAACCAGATTGCCTGGGGGCCTTGAACACGGTGGAGAGACAATCCGGCTGCAGGAGCCTGGGTTGCCAGGCAACCCAGAAACACCCCTATCCTGGGATGGTCCTGAGGAGAAGACAGGCCCAGACGGGGCCCTTGAACTCTATTCCAACCCCTGTTCTCCCTATCCCCGCTTTTGTTTTGAGACAATTTTATGTAGACCAGACTGGCCTCAGGTTCCTATGTAGCTAAGGACTGTCACCTGCCTGGTTCTGGAAGTACAGTTGTGTGCCACCAAGCCCAGCTTTTGTAGTGCCGTGGCTTGAACCCAGAGCTTTGTGCACGTTAGGCAAGCTGTCTTCTAGCAGAACTATAATACATTTGCATCCCCTTCTTTATCTAATGGAGGTGCTGGGGAGCTAGTTTGCAGCCTGGGGAAGCTTTCTATGTGAATTGTGCATCATCTTCCTGTGTGGCCCGGACACTCTCCCCCAAGGTTTGCCTGTCAAGTCCTCTTAGATGATCCTTGGAATTAGAAGGATTCCCTCAAAAACAGTCAAGTTAGGAACCAACCGTTCACAGGTACTTTTAATTGTATCAAACCACTAATAAAGCTCATATTTCCATGTTAGCACAGACATGAGCGCCGTTGGACTGGAATGTCAGACCTGCTAGAGTACCAGCATCCAGGATGGGTATCTGGATTGTAGCAGGATTGTCAGCTTTATTGAGGCTCCAAACTCCTGCCTTCACAAAGGCTAACATGGGAGAAGAGGCATCTTCTAGACCTGTCCCTGAGCGGCAGAGAGTACAATCAGAGTAAAATGATTTGCATAATTAATATTTGTTGGTTGTTGGCAGACAAAAGAAAGCTTCCTTCACATGATCTGCACATGCCTTTTTAGGTCCTGTGAAGTATCTTCACTGGCGGAAGCAGATAAAGGGACAATGAAATGCTATTTGGTGACTACAGAATTAGGAAAAAACGAAAAAGAAAGAGGGGACTTTTTTTTTCTTTTTAAAGATAATATTTGGCTTCTGGATTGGAAAAGCTAGCCATCTCTCGCTTGTCACTGGCAAGCGTGTGTGTGTGTGTGTGTGTGTGTGTGTGTGTGTGTGTTGGGGGAGGTGTTTGAGCAGCTTCAACGAAAAGTATTTTGTATGTAACCAGAACCTTCTGACAGTAGTAATTCCACCTAAAGCGACGTAGCCCCCAGGAAATAGCAGCTATGCTACAAAGCTCCTCGTGGGAATATTGTTTACGATAGTGTTAATAATAGAATAGTTAATAATAGTTTGAGTAGCCCCGTTAGCAGACTAGAGGAGGCGATTTTGGTACATCCGTGAATGAAATTAATATGGATGTTGTGAATGTTTGTGAAGAACTTTGAATAGCATGGGGAAATGCTTATGAAAGAAACTGCCCAGGGTGGGAATGAAAACTGTATGTTAGTTTATATGATCTCAGTTATGTCAAAACACATCTTAGGGGACTAGGGGTACAGCCCCACTGGTAGAGTGCTTGCCCAGCATGGCCCTGGGGTTTTCTCCTCAGGCAGTGTGTTTCATGTATCCCAGGCTGGCCTCCCTGTGTAGCTGAATTCAACTCTGAATTTCTGGTCCTCCTGCCTCCACCTCCCAGTACAGGGACTACAGGTGTGCACCATGCCCAGTGTGTCTGGTGCTGGAACTGAACTCAGGACTATGCACATAGGAGACAGGCTGCTATTGAGTGTCCTCCTCAGCTTTGGGATGCGCTTTAGAAAAAATAAATCAAGCTCAAATATCGACCAACTGCTTCTTAGGTGCACCCATCTTGACTAATCCCCTCCACAGTTCTGTCAGGCAGGTATCCTCAGTCTTCCACGATGAGGAAGTTAAAGTCTGGTGTTGGGGGGGGGGTGATTAGCTTCCCTCCTTGTGCTCACATAAAGATCTGTGCTCAGTCTGCCTGGCTCCAGAGCCCAGGCTTCTCCACTTCATCACGATGGCTGTCTTTCTCTGGCTCTTTCCATCCCCCCTCTGAATGCTTCTCCCTGCACTAGGGCATTTGGCATTTACTTACCTACTGCTGTGAGTGAAGTCTCTTGTGATTCAACTTTCTAAAAAAGCCTAAGGGTCTTACTCCTCTTGCCTAAACATTCCAAGTTCCTTGTAGAGAACATCCAGATAGCAGTTCTCCAGCTAGTCCACTGCTGAGCAAACGAAGGGCCCCTTGATTGTTTACTCAGCCTTCATTTAAAGAATTAACAACTTTCCCGTGCGGCTCTGGCAACAGAGGCCAGGCTTAGGAGCTGTCAGGGCTTTGGCAGTGTCCCCAAGTTCTCAGAACTGCTTTAACCCAAGGGATAACTAGCCCTGGCCACAGTTTTGGGGGGGGGGTTGCTTACAAAGGCAGTGACATAGTGGCAAGCATCCTGCTACCTCCTGTTGCTCGCTCCGCAGCTGGTTGATTTGCTGTCTCTGCATGTGTGACAGAAAGATCTACTCTGTCCAAAACAGGCTCCAAGTTAGTCGGGGAGAAAGCTTATGAATAG